TTGGAATAGTTACCTATTAAAGTTCTCAAAATTTTCCTTAAATAATTCAAGATCCATATCCGGTTTAAGAGTGTAAGTTTATTTTTACCAGAAAGGGGCACCTAAGTCTAATTTTTTAGCGTCTTTCTCATCCTTAGATAGTGGAAGAGGTTGTTGGAGTTCAAGAATCCGCTTGTAAATAATGAAACGATATTTGGTTTAAGAATCACCTCAAACAACTTTGTTTATTTATCGCACCACTTTAAACCGTCGCGAGATAAATTAAATTAGCACAATAGGCTTAAGCTATGAAACTGCTGTTTAGTTTGAGGTCGAAAGGGGCGAATGACATTTTTGTGAAGTAGTAAGTCGATAGAATTTGCACCTAGCTCATATAAGTGACGTTTGACTGACGTGCGCTGCCAAAGGTCCTCTGATTCTACTCCTGAGCCCTGTTGAATTGCTTTCCCTTTTACTGCATGCTTTTGTTGTCGTTATCTAGTGATGTTCCCCCGATTGGAGCTCAACAAAGACGAGTCAAACCCTCTCCCTTCTGCCCTATCAGGTGAATTCGGCTTAACAATTTGTTTCCTCAATTCACTCGCAACATTTCTCTCTGCATGCTCGACTCTTGGTGCGGTCGGAATTTCTCGCGCATTCAACTACGAATGTGCTTCTCTGGGCCAGTCATAGACTCATGCCTTCATGTGTGTGTTTGGGAATGGGCATGTTTTGTTTGTTTTATGGCTAGTTTTTGCATTGCAAAATCTGTTCCCTCTCTCGCTATGGTCACAACAGGATATCATTGACATTTCGGACTTGGAGACATTGGGTTCGTTTTCGCTTTAACTGCCTTGACAACTTTACTATTCATAACAGAACCAAACAATTAATCGATTACAAATGTTAAGCTGTGTGTTTCAGCAGATAGAGGTATTATGTGTAGTACTTTGTGAGCTAAATTGAATTGATTTTAGCATCTTCTAAACAGCACTCAGATGGTCGTTTACTCCTTTGGACGCGGTTTGAGGTTGCTCGTTTTTTTCATCGCCTATTTACACAATAACATGTACCAATTATTCACTTCATCACTTGTCATAGTGCAAAATTACTTCGCACCAATTCCACTAAACCTTATTCTTTTTCTGGTCTACTCAATAGTTCACAAAGGATGTTGTTTTTCTGCTCCACTATTGAGATGCAAGTTATTAACCACATATTCTTCATTTTCGCAGTTCCAAAAATTAAGGATTTTAAAGTTTTTAAGGTGTAAACATGAGTTTAGAAGAAACGATAATTTCCTTTAATACTCCGCCTTAGGTAATTTCATTGTCAAAGAGCTATGTAAAATTCTCCCATTTTAATAGCACCACACCGCATGCACTGGTTGTGTGCATTGGCTATACTGATCTGTACCTCACAAATAAGACTTGGCCTTTTCGTCCAGACAAATACGGTGATTCTGCGTCCCAGCGGCAGTCAGACACGTCTGAACAAAGTTCAATTGACCAGTCTGTGCTGGAGGGAATTCGAACACTTGCCTTTGTTGACTTGAGCGACTACAAGAACGGTGAGTTCGAGAAAAAGCATCTACAGGGCTCAAAAAGGCGAGGGTAAGCTTCTCTTTGATCCTTTAGAACCTTCTCTTTGGGTTGGAACTAATCGTGGATCCGTATTTGGCTTCACTTTGGACGTATCGGAAGACTCCAACTCGCATTCCCTTGGTTATAACCTCCTGGGTAAGGGCTTGGGGTCCTATTTGGCGAATTCTTGATTTCTCAATAAGAGGATCATTAGCTAACAATTGAAGAGAAGGGAGAGGGGAAATTAAAAGGTCAATTTAACGAAATTATTTCCTGCCGCAGGGGAGCAAGAGGACTTTTTGTTCGTGCATTTGCACATTTTAGTGCTATTGCGAATTCATTTCCTGGATTTTAATGATTCAATGCTTTAAGAAGATCGCCATAGCCAACAATCCTTTTTTCTGTAAACTTGATAAACTTTAATATGGGAACCGCCAAATTGGAGAATGTACCAGAACTTTGGAGCGTTTCAATTCACTTACTACTCCTACCTCAAGCCAAAATGGTGTTGAAGTGGCTTTATAAAACGAAATACATACAGTTGAATAGATGAGGATTCTGGATCTGCATCTTGGTGGACATAAGGACGATTAAATGGCGGGTTTTTTGCATGTCATCCCTCAGGTACAGCTAAGATTCGCTCTAAACAAATACAAGCTCATTATTTTCCTTACCCTACGCAATATATCATTTCTTTCCTTATTGTTATGGGAATATGTCCAGTGGATGCTCCTTTTATTGTTACAGTTACTTTACATATTAATGCTGACGCAATTAGAAATACTTCGAGGAATTTGGAGAATTATGCGGTTTAATTCTTAAGTGAAACGATTTTTTCTACAATGCTTCTCGTTCGAGTGCTTATGATAAATGATGACTTACCCATCACATGGTGACTCTGATGGTAACAAACAAACGCCTACTTTGGTTCCATACTTCTGCGGGCTATTTTAAACCCAAAAAATTGTGTTCAGAAGTTTTACTTCAGGAGTAGGCTCTTAGGTTGTTTCGTTTTGCAAAAATTTTCCGCCCATACATCCAGCAACTCACCGCTTCGTTGTGGGAATATTATTGCTAAACTCTAGCGTCAAACTTTTATCTGATACTATGTAGGTATGGGATGAATTTTCAATTAGAAATCTGTTCTTATATTTGCGTCTTGAGGATGAGCGTATTCAATTCAGTAGTCATTCAATTTTGGATTTCTTTAAAACGTTTGACGCTGCTAACCGATTCTTCGTGAGTGGATGGTTACGAAGCTCTTTTAAAACTTTGTAATGTTCAAAGCCTACCTGCGATT